GCCTATGAAATGTCCTGGGTTCAATCCCTAGTATCTCCATAACACACATCCAAGGCTATTAAACAAAGCCACTATTTTTGCAATTTCCTAAGTAGATAAACTTAAAAATCTTGTAAATGATTAATATCTACAGTCAAACTGCATTAACCTCATTGATAATATTCAGCAAGTAAGCAGAAATAATTACTGTAATAAGGGATTATGATGCAGAATCTTTTAATTTTTTAAGATTGATTTTTCACAATGAAGCTTTCTAATTTTGTATGTTATGCATATGCATCTCCAGAATACTAGGAATGTTAGAGGGTTTTTTTGGTGCTAGGGATTGAACCTAGGTGTACTCAGTCACTGAGCTACATCCCCAGCCCTTTTAATATTTTATGTAGAGGACAGGGTCTCACCAAGTTGTTAGGGCCTCACTGAGTTGCTAAGACTGGTGTTGACACTCATAATCCACCTGCCTCAGCCTCTGGAGCTGCTGGGATTACAGGTGTGTGCCACCATGCCCAACAGAATGTTAGCATTTTAATAAAAGTATTAATAGAGTGTTCAGCCTAAACATATTTTTGTTTGGTTTTGTTTTGGTGCTGGGGACTGAAGCAGGGTCTCACATATGCTAAGCACATACTCTATTCCTTGATTATACCTTAAACCTCTAAATATAATTTTAGATTATATCTATTCAGCTTTCATCTACTACCATAAATATCAACTGTATGACAAAAAAGAATTTAAATGCTCAAGTTATTACAGAATAAGAAAAATTTCTAACATATTATTTGGTTAAGTTTTTCCATTTCGCTATAAAAGTTATTTATTATTTGTTATTTTTTTAAAGGACTTCACTGATAACTCTACCTTATATATTGGCAGTTTTAAACCAATGTTAACTTTTTAATCTCTATGCATTCTATTGATATAAATTTGAAATTCCAGCTAGGTGCAGTGGCACATGCCTGTAATCCCAGTGACTGAGAAGGCTGAGACAGAAGAATTACAAGTTTGAGGTCAACCGTACCAACTTAGCAAGGACCTTGGCAACTTATTGAGACCCTGTCTCAAAATAAAAAATAAAAATAAAGGGCTGGTAAAGTACATCTTTTTTTGGCACCTCTCAAAAAATCAAATTCCAAACTTTCAAGATGAACAAATAAATAACAACAGTAAATAAATAACAACAGGCTACTTTAAAAATTATGTTTAAGTCCACTAAAAAAGTTCTAAGTATAATTTTGTACTTCTACTTTATAAATTTTACAGAAATTTTATTGTTTTTGAAAAATGCTTCAACTTTCTTAGTAAAAATCCCTCAAACATCATTGTTATTTGTTACATGGGTTTATATTTAAATTATACAAATTATGGCTGGGGTTGTGGCTCATCAGCAGAGAGCTTGTCTAGAACGTGTGAGGCCCTGGGTTCAATCCTCAACACCACATAAAAATAAATAAATAAAATAAAGGTATTCTGTCAAACTACAACTAAAAATAAGTTTGAAAAATATAAAAATAAAAATAAATTATACAAATTATTTCTTTGGGGTAATATGATATATAGCATATTAATAATTTCTCAAATTTACCTTTTAAATAAATGCTTTTTATTCAAACAGGTCAATAATTGGCCATAAAGTCCTTTACAAACTATAAAAACAGGAAAAAAAGGCCATAAATTTACTTTTTTTTTTTTAGTAGTGCTGGAGATTGAACCTAGGACCTTGTGCATGCGAGGCAAGCACTCTAACAACTGAGCCATATCCCAGCCCATAAATTTACTTTTTCATAGATATGTTTCATTACTTAGATGTTTACTTACTTTAATAAGTAATGCTTCATTTGCAGCTTCAATTACTTCATTCCTATCTTGAACTTGTTGATGTAAATTGCTCACAGTGTCCTGAGCTTCTTCTAATTCCAGTTTTGCCTTCTCTAATTGTTCATTTAGCTGCTGAACAGAAGTCTTTTGAGAGTCAGCAGATATTTTCCACTTTGTATGGTTCTCCTGATGTGAAATCATCTACATAGCCCCCAAATTGTAAAAATAAAAAAGAATGAAAATAGGGTGGAGTTGGTTTCAACAACATTCTAATACTTGGCTACTATCACTTTTTCTTAAAAGAAAGTAAATTCTGTTTAAATACACAAACATCTAATTTCTCAACAAATAAAATACTAGTAGAAAAAAGGGAGTGAAGGAACACATTGTTTTCCATTTACCTAACAGTTAATCACATGCAATAGACTCTATTTGGGTCCTGATTTGAACAATTAAATTATAAAGGCATTTTTTTAGATAATTCTAAATTTGAGAATTTATTGATAATTTTTCTAGTATTAAAAAGGTCTTTATTATAATTAATTGTTCAGTTATACAAAACATACTTATTTAAATTTTGACCTTTGCATGTTATATTATCATTGTGTCCCTTTTTTTAATTAGATCTTTATGGTTATACATAGTAGTTGGATTCATCCTGACAAACTCATACATGCATGTAAATCAATTTCAGTTCTTCATCACCTCTTTTCCCTCCC